TCTATGAAATGAAAAAGCTCTGAACTGGGAGATAAGTTCATGTAAGACTGTAAAGGTTTCGTCTGCTATAAGTCCAAACTTTCACCCCAGTCAAAACACATCTAATGGGAACATTTAATTACTTATAAAGTGATACTTTGTACAAAAAATCTATTTCTGTAATTCGCCTTGAACTTTTCGGTGGCAATGACGTAGTAAAGCATCTTTGTAATTGTCACACGATAGGTGACAACCATTGAGTAATGTTTTGTTTGAATCATTCGAATGAAACAATTGCGTAGTAGCGATTGTCCATCTTTTTGAAACGTCAAGGTCATTTATTCCATCTGTTTATTTTGGCTTTTGTCGAAGTAATTCTCCTAACTCCAATAGAGTGCCGTTTCTGAATTTTTACAATTTTGAATTTTTCTTGATAATTTTAAACAAAGTGAAGTAATCAGTGAATTTATGTACTTGCAAGCATTATAATCTATTAGAGGCAATAAAAACCGTTCCCGGGGACTATTTACTGTTAATTTTCCGCAAAAACTAATTAAATGAATGCGTAATACCTGAAAGTGATCTGTTTGATTTGAATGAATCGTCTTCTGTCCCATTGGATATCTTGAGGATATTTATCCTAGCTAGCATTGACTTCGAGGGCTGTTCAGGACTTTCAGGACAGACTTCTGGTCACTCTTACTTATTCTGCAGTGCATCCGAGGTTCTTCGCCACGAATATTCCCCAGTGCACCTGAAGAAATTTATAGTTGGACAGCGAGTCTTTTCCAATGAAACTGTATTTGAAGTAGTTTTCAGATGAATCCGCCTGTGGTTTTCTCCTTTGTCATGCTATTCAGAGTATGATGAGGTATTGCTTTTCATTGAATTTCTAAAAATATGGTGATATATCGGGATATATATTTCGGTATATATTTACTTTTGAATACATAGGATCACTGCTCAGTGCACAAATCTGCATTAAATTGTTTGTATAACAAAGGAAGCTAAAATGACTTCAATTTTGCTTATTTCTAAGAGAAAATCTTCGCAAATCAAACGAGTTAAATCACTGCAGAAATGTCAAGTAGATGAAGTATTAGGAGTGAATTAGACACTTTATCTGTCAATAATACTGGATTTCCATCAGTTTGAATTTGCATATAGTTTAACTTAATGGAAAATGGTAACATTTCTAACTTATATGTAGTTACGACTTTTCTTATGCTATCATTTTTCTTGATAACCCAGCCAGCAATTTTTTTGGGCTCATTGCAGACTTTTTTTTCGAACTTAAGTTCGAACAAGACAAAGCAGAACATGTTCATATTATCCCTGAACCTTTCTTCACATGGTAACAACCCGAAATCCCAATGGTTAATATGAACTAATGTAAAAGCTTCAAGCTTGAAAGAACTCAAGTGTTACCAGATTCCCCTAAATGTATTTTGTTTTGTTTTGCATAGATTTCTCGTGTTCAGAACTGGTAGTGAATGCTACTTTTTTCATGTCAGTTAAGTTGTTCTAAAGGTTACACATATGAATGTTTGCATTTATTTGATAAATGATTTCCATTCTGTAGATTATTTAAAGTTGTTACTAGCCATGTGAAATGATAGTTAATTTAACTCATTACTGTGATACAGATCATCTCTTCTGAGAAAATACAAATCTGATTTACTCTATCTTTCTCTACACACCTTTATCAGTGATATATATCGCGACTTAAGAGTCAAAAACGTAAACAGATAAATACTAATCATGAAACAAACGAAAAACTTCTTATTAAAAGACTCTGAAACTTTTCTTTTTTTCAACAAATTAGTTTTGTAAAATGATCTTGGTAGGGTTTATTTCACATCGCGTTTATCATCTGGAATGCTCGGAGAAGATTATAGGTCTTGGTCACAAGTAATGTCCAGTTGATCATTCTCCATAAATTATACAAGATTTTCAGCTTAATTAACATCAAATTTCTGTTCTAATATTTAATGGGAGCTTCATCGAAGTGCGGCAATTATAGTGAATACACTTCTGTGTAAAATTTACGCCGATACTCTTGTCGGCCGTATTTGTGTCAATTTAATTGAGTTTATTATGGCCTCCTTCATAAGTTCTCTTCATGGAAGAAGTCTTTTGGAATCTAAAGAGCACTGATATGCCTTTTCACTTCTGGATGGAACTGCCCTTAATTTTAATGCAGACCAACAGCTAGTTTTTACTTAAATATTTGAAGTTTTCATCCTAAGTAGTGATTACGGGAGTGCAGAATTCGAGTATGAAGTAAGCTGCCCAAGACGTTGGATGACGACCAGGTTTTATCACAAACTGATGGAAGGCGGAAGTTACTTATAACCTAATATTTATTATCTTGCTAAAAGCCAGTATGCTGTCTTAATAATCTTGAGGTCGTATATGAGATTATGGATGCGCATCGCCAGGCTTACGAAAGTTTCTAAAAGACAGCTTTCATTATTCCCTGTTTTACGCACTTTCTGAGGTTTCTGTCAATCCACAGTGACACATAGTTTGAATTTATTGGTGTAGTCGCGTTCTCTGAGGCGGATAACTTCTTTGCAAACCCCTCGTTATCTTTCTAGGCAATACCTCGGTTCAGACTCCAGTATGATTTGAAAGAACTTTTGAGTTCTCCATAAATGAGGCAACACACCTACAATAGCATAATTCATCTGAGCTACAAATCTTTCCCATCACTTTAAAGTTATCATTACTTTGAAATTTCAGGCCACTTCACCACTCCAAAGCTTATCCTGACATTAAAGCGTGATTCAGCATCAACTGGCTGATAGGAAAAGAACATTTCCTTTTTGATAGATATCGGAATTATACCGTTAATAAGTAGATAAATTATTTCAAATCTACTAGAGATAGAGTGAATGTTCACTGTAGAACAATGTGCGAAACTTCATAAGTACAAGCCACCATAATTCATAAAATCACACGAATGTAAAGAAAGGAAATAAAAGAACTAAAAATGAAATGTATTAGAGAGACAATATTTGGGAACTAATAAATCTAGCAGATTACAAGGCGTGAATGTATTTCCACCTTTAAAACATTTTTGACTTTAGGCTATTAATTTTGGCGTCTCAATAACCTCAGCCAGGAAGCATAATCATGCAAACGAGGGTCGTACCAACAGTCACAGACTTCAGGGATTGGTGCACTTTCCTCTAGTTCCTTTCTAACCCAATCCTCTGCTGGCTATCGTCGCTCAACAGGGAGTCAGCCTTCTACAGTACATAACATGTCAAAGGGATCTCAGTCAATGCAGTTTCATAATCTCATTGGTTGACTTTCACCCCTGACCTACCACTCTATCCCTGCGCACATTATTACTGGCCCTATTATTTCCCGTATTATGGGAATTCGAACGCAGACACTTGTGGTCTAAAGTCGCCATTCATGTCATATCTTCTGCCTTCAACGGTCAGATTTCATAGCTGGAAGGAAGAACAGAGTGAACTGCTAAGTAGCATGTGCGTCCTTTGACACAGCCAGATATCACATCTGTGCCAACCATGACCTAAGTTAACAATCGCCTAAGGAGACTTTGTATCCATGGTGAGATTTCTTCAGCAATCATTCCATCATGTTCAACAGAACTTTTAAAATGAATGAAGTAGCCAGTACCCTCAAGTATTTTTATCCCTGTCTTTAAACCAGAAATCTGTATAGATCAGTCCTAAGTCATCATTTTACAGCAGACAATGGTGAATGACTTGCCGAAAGTGTTAAAATTTCTGTTCAAGGTATTCAGACGATTCGGTATTTTGGCAGCATCTTCATCTCGAAGGACTCTATTATTTACATACTCAAGAATGATGGAAATTTTTCCTGGTAAAAAGTCAGTCACTGAGATGTTAAACATGACCAGAGTAGGGGTTATTAAACGAAATCAATGAGTATCCCAGCCGAACAATACACATAAGAATGCTGATCTGAATCTACTCAAGTAGCAAGTTTTTCGCCTTAACGCTGTAATACTTTAGCACCAGCAAGTTCACCCGAATGAACCTAGGAATTTCATGGACACCATTAAGATGGTTTTTTGGATTTACTGCGTTGGAAAGGTAAAGTTAATTCTGAAGGCTTTTATTATTTATTGAGGCGAACCGTTAAACGAAATGAGTGCTTGTTATGGTGTTTTTGTTGATTGAATCATCATGTATTCATTTATTCAGCATTAAATTATCATACATAACTTTTTAATTCCGTTAATAGATTGTTTCATTTGAACAAAAAGACATTTGCTTACGTCCAACAATAAAATATAGATATTAGACACAATGCCACCGAAGAAAAAAGGGAAAGCTGATAAGCTTTCTAAAATGACAGATGAAGAAAGGGCTATTTATCTTGAACAGCAAAAAATTGCTGAAGAAGAAGCAAAGGCGAAGAAAACAGCATTGTTAACCCAGTATCTACAAGTTCGTTCATTTGTATTTCTAACCGATTTGTTTAGGATAAACTTGACCATGAAGAGAAAGCAACTAAGCTAAATAGAGCGAAACTGATACACTATTGGAGAACTATTATGCGTGAAACAAAATCTAAAGAATTAAAAAGAGATACAGAAATATTAGCACAAACTTTTGAAAGGATCATGGATCGGTAGGTTTAATCGCATTCAACATTTCACTATCATTACAAAGGAAGGAGAATATCATGAAAACGCTCGTTTCGGATCTCAATGAAGCAGAGGAACAACATCTTATGGCCTTACGATCTCATTTACAAAATGTAGATACTTTAATAGGTAAGTTTACTTATGTTCAATGATTCAGCCCAAATATGCAAATTCACAATACTTATTTCACTTATTTTTGAAAAATTCTCGGGCAAAAGGCAGGTTGCCGAATAGGTATGATTATATTATGTCCCAGTGTGTTTCTGTGTGACGACATTTACAGACTATAATTTTAGTGGTCTTTGTTGCATTTTTCTACCTTAGTGAGAAAGATAGCTAAATGAAAATATTTCATATGAATTATTAAATGGATTTCCCTAGCTACGCATTTATGTGACTCTTAGTAAATTGTAGTCTTGTATTTCTTGTGTGCAGAACACAGTAACCATTCATTTAAGCAAAGATTACAGATCGCTTACACTTTTTTGCTGATATAAAAACTTCAAAATAAAAATGGAGACAAATCAATTATTTAGGTTTCAATGGAAAAATATAGGATACATATGTAGTATATCGAATAGTAATTAGTATTTAGGAAATGCGATCTTATTGTGCTGAATTGAAGAAATACCATTGGGACCTATGTAAAGTGCTTAGTAAATTTAATCTGTTCTATAATGACCAGTAGAGTTACTGTTCACTCTTATCATCGTTCACTGGTGCATTTGATCAGTTGGTATTAATTCTTGGCTAACAAGAATAACACGATTTACATCTACCTTACTGTCCACCTTTGAATAAAGGATTCACTTGAAAAAAGTGTTTCGAGAACATTTTTTTCAGCAAAAACCAACAGAACATAAAAATGTAGGAAGCCAAGGTGTAGTAGACAGTCGTTTCATACTATTTTTACATATTTCTTTCTTGTGCGGTATTCAAATTTTTATGATTATTCGCCCTTAAATAAAGGGTTTCATTTGAGAAAATTGCATATCTACATGGCGAAAAGAAGTTCATATCTTTTTATCAAAACTTAGAGCCTTGTTTATGTTCAAAAATGTAAACAATATCACTAGCATAGTAGAAATTCGAGCGGAAGATGGTCGAATTCCTGGTTTGTAGCTGAATCAGAACAAGTAGCTGAGTAACTAGAATACATGGTCAGTAATCCTGAAGCCTTTGATGTGATTCCTACTCCTTTGTGGATTTAATATCACCTTCAATCATCACTTGCTTTGTCAGTGACAATCTCCCTACCTCAGGGTTTTCCTATATAATCTTACTAGGAAGCTTAAGTTTACCGATTTGATCACGAGCTGACATCAGCTATAGAACTACTGCCAAGCCAGAGAGGACTAGACAACTGTTTCATCATAGTCTGAGACTTTTCAGCATTATACATCAACCGGGTTCAAACCCAGGACCTTCTAGTTACAAGGCGTGCTCGTATGCCCTTCAACCTCTGGGAACTGACCCTATGGTCCCTGACTTCTAGCTTCTATGTGAGTACTGCTGAACGGTTTCGGAGTTAGAAAAAACGGCTACCTAGCACTCCTCGATTTTCCGATGGTCCTCTAATTGATGTGAGCTCAAGATAAAACCTGAAACCAATCAAATCCCTGCAAATCAATACCTGATAAAAGGTTTAGTTTGTTTCAAGTTATATTAGTTGCTTTGTTTTTTCTATGCCGAATTTCGGAATTTTCTTTAGTTTGGTTTGTAAGAGTTAGTTATTTTTTCATGGGTTGATCACGGATTGATATCATTTGGAGAACCATTGAAAACCAGGGAGTACTGGACAGCTGCTGTTTCATCCTAGTTTGGGAATCATCGGCAGTACGCACCCACATAACTAAGCCTTACAAACCAAACTATAGGAAATTAATCTGATGCTTGCTAGTGACTTGCTACAGGATGGAGTTTCCTGGAGTTCTAGTGAGAAGTCGTGACCAGTGAGGTCCAATTAGATGTCACGTGTGTGGATGGATGTCCCACCAACGACATTGGTTGGGGTCGCGCTAAATCACGAATTTGTAGAAGTTAGAATTCATGCACTGGCCATTGAATCGGGTCCCAGTGGCTGAATGGTATACGAGCTTGCCTTGTAACCGGAAGGTCCTTGGTTCGAACCTTGGCAGTGGGTGCGTACTGCCGATGATTCCCAAACTACGATGGAGGAAACAGCTGTCCAGTACTCCCTGGTTTCTAATGTTTCTGTAACTGATATCAATCCGTGATCAACTCGTAAAAATTTGGGAATCCCAGTTCAAAACCATAAAACATTTTAACCGAAATAATTATGTGTATGAAATACCGCATCAAACACTGCTTGATCTGTTTGATTTATATGATTCATCGTAGCAAAGTGAGATTGTCAATGATTTAAAATAACTTAGAAATATTCAGCTACTGAAAAATATTTTAGTAGTCAACTTATACTAACTAAATGTTTAGATTTGTGGGAGACATCTTGTCTTTCTTCCAGGAAAAATTCATGATTACAGCGCAAAGTAATTTAAGCAGTCCTCATAAGCTTGGAAAGCTGAGCTGCATGGCCTTATTTTTTCATACAATAATGAGGTTATAAGTGATTCATCTTCCATTTCCACAACCATCCACTTGACTGAGACTATGTTTCATACATGATTGCGTTTAAATCAACAATCTTCCTACAAATTACTTGAAGGAACTTCTCCTCAGATGCACCTTCTCATAGTTGTCATTTTATTTTGATTACCAACGTTTACTTATTCGTAAACTAAAGGATAATATTGTGTCAAACCTATAATTGTTCAAGAATTAAAAAAAAAAGGTGAATTTCACTTTGAACATAATTCGTTAGTAATCCTGAGGACTTTTGTTTGAATCCCTACTATGATCCAAATTGTTGTTGAACCTAAAGTCATCATTCATCGAATCAGTATGAGTCTATAAGGATCGGCGATAATAGTATATAAGCCTGAAATTATAGGAATAAATCGTCACATGTTCACAATGGATCTACTATGTTCCACTCTATGTTTTCATAATGTGTCTGTTTGAAGAAGATTATTATTTGGTAGATTGCATTTTTGCCCAAATTATATGGAAAGGAAAAAGTGGCTGTTAGAAGATATTCGTTGCTTTATTCTTCATGAAGAAATCACCATTACACCGAAACCACTTTACACAATAAAACTTCAAAGGAATTTTTGGCTTGTTTATTTTAATAATTTGTCCACCTTTCACTTAATTTTATCAATACAGACTTACAAAACCAACGATTACGCAAACTGAAAACTGACTATGAAACAGAAATGAAGTATTTGGTAGAAGAGTTTGAAAAAGGTTAGTTGTATATATACTGGTGTAATTATGCTTTAAATTCTCTTAAAGAGGAGAACTATATTACACAACAGCATGAGAAACAAATCAATGATTTAAAAAATATTTTCGTTGCACTGGATTCCACATATACAGCGAAGATAAATGAGGCCATTATCGATCAAAATAGTCTAAAGGATGACTTGAAAAATAGAGTAAGTTTTCTTGATTTCAAAGGTATTTTTTGCTTTCTACTGAAGTCTTTCATTATGTTTTAGAAGTTAAATTAGGTGGTAGTGGTTAAAGTCATCAGTTTCATCGTTGAATGATGTTCATAAGTATGTATGATTCTTTATTTCTCTGGAATTACACTATCTGGTTGATGAATATAGTTCATATGTAGACACAACTGTGTCTTATTTTACGAGAAAATGTATGTTAAGTTGAAGAGACAGAATAAATATACCATAAAAATGTATCTGCAATTTAAAGGGGGCTGAGAAGTTAGTAGAAATATATCGAGAGTAATAACTTCGAGTTACGACGTCTGCTATCCAGGAAAATACGGAAACATAGATTTTCCACATATGGCTATTACTTACAGCTAGTATATTCATTATAAGCGTGGTAGTGTGGCTATACTGGTCTCTTTTGCATATGCAATATGCATGGGACATTCATCAAGAACCTTGAGCGCATTATAGAATACCTAAGGTCTGTAATTAAAGAGTTTACCTTAAACTTAACTATAGTGGCTTGGTAATTTAATTAACCTCTGTATGCATTTTAAATAAACTGACTATCTAACGCTTTTTACTTAAAAGTCATATGTAGGAGGCGCATGTCTAGAAGAAATTTATTAAGTAGGCATTTGGAATTCCCTCTGGCATAAGTAGTATCGTGGGATTGAACATTTTATTCACGACTGCTGAACGGGTGTCGAGAATTAGTCGATAATGAAGTCACCACAACTGATATAATTAATATTCTAATTAATCTTTTCTTTGGGCTCTAGTATTTTATCGAAACTTCTTAGATTTTTCTTTCAAATTTTGCATAACATCGAGTTTGTTTTTTACCTACTGAAATTGTGCATTTGAGTAAAATAGGTAGGACAGTCAGTATTTAAATGAATAGTTTTGCTTCTTTCAAGAAATAGTATGAAATATGACGACTGCGCTGATGTCTAAAACTCTTCGCAGGAAATGCTCTTTTTCTCAGTGCGAAAAAGAAACCAATAGAGAAATTGACAAACTGAATTATAAGTTTTCATTAAAATGTTTAAATCTTTGAAAATCTGTACGTGTATTTCAACAAGAGATGCCACAAAAGTAAAAACCAATTAAATTCAAAATACACTGAAACGAAGTTGAGGGGTACAGATGGAAAGCCAGCTAATAAAAACGCCATGAAATAATAATAAAAGCTTGAAAGAAAATAAAAATAATATGAGTTGTATTGGTTACAGGATTTCATCATGAACTGACATCGGTTAGAGAAGCATTGGAAAACCTGGGAGTACTGGGCAGCTGTCTCGTTATAGTTCGGGACTCTTTACAGTACGTGGACACCGCCATAGTTCGAACCTAGAACCTTCTGGTTACAAGGCGAGCTCATAGACCATTGGACCACTGGGACCCTATCCAACGGCCCGTGAATTCCAACTTCTGCCAATTCATGACGTAGCGCGGCCGTTGGCCAATGTCTTCGGCGAGTACTTGTCTTCAGACCCGACTGGCTCTACCCTACCTACTCTATCCTGTAACCAGTCAGTCAAATCCCTACAAACCAATAATTGAATGTCAGAGGGGTGCTCACTAGGGACTGGCAGTATTCAGGTAGGTTCCATTAAGAAGTCGTGATCAGTAGGATAGAGCAGGTCAGGTGTGAGGACAAATACTCGCCGAGGACATTGGCCAAAGGCATGAATTGGCAGAAGTTGGAATTCACGGGCCGTTGGATAGGGTCCCAGTGGTCCAATGGTCTATGAGCTCGCCTTGTAACCAGAAGGTTCTAGGTTCAAACTATGGCGGTGTCCGCGTACTGTAAAGAGTCCCGAACTATAACGAGACAGCTGCCCAGTACTCCCAGGTTTTCCAATGCTTCTCTAACCGATGTCAGTTCGTAATGAAATCCTGTAACCAATCAATCAAATCCCTAAAAACCAATACTTCACTATGAGTCTTGCTTTCCGCACTTAGCACTGATACAATTCATTAAATGGTGGGTAAAAATTATTTTTTATTATTTGTAAGACGAAACTACGTAGCCTTAACACAAGTCACTAACTCATATTAATGGTTCACTAGTGAGAATGTAATAAATGAATAACGTCATGTTTGAATTTGACTCCACAGCAAAAGTTTCATACATTGCATTCATCTTATCACTTAGTAGCCTACCCATAAACAACCTTTTTCAGAATGGCAGACAATTGAGCACTTGTCATATATTTGTGCGTTTCAACTACAGGAAGCACAGTATGAGTCGACATCTCCCTATGGTTTTTGTAAATTGGATGTTTAACGCCACTGGTTAACACTTGATTTTATATTTCACTCGGCGGATTAACTACGAAATGGAGAAACTGCTGTTATATACCCGCAGTACTTCCACACACACTAGTGTGTAAGTGGTCGCTCGAATATAATTGGCAAAGTAGAAGGAAGATACGGTTTGGTCCACTGCTAAAGATAAAATTCAGGGATACAGTCATATTAGCAGGTGATTTCGATACTCAGTTAGAGAAACTGAACCAGTCTGTAAGGTAAATCAGGAGTATCTGCAATGATAGCCTTTTACACTTTTCTCAAGTTGACCATCACTGATTTTGAATTGAAAAAAGACGTCCTCTCACATGACGATCACTGTCACTAAACCAATGTTGGACGTAAATAGACCAATTAGCTGTAAGTTGTCGATGGAGATGGTCAGTAGAGATTTGTTGTTCCTTCTTGATCACCAGCATGGAGTTCGATTATGAATTAGTTGGTGCAGAAGTATGCATACAACAGAACCTTGTAGCCCTTACGTGCCCGGTCATTCAATGAGAATAGGTGGTCAGTGTTAAGGTACCAGATTATTACATGTTATCACCTTAATTCTACCTTTGCTGCTATGTTTAATTAAATAATAATTGTAACTATGTATACTTATGCATCTTAATGCAATTGTGCAGCTTTTCAGAACGAAATAACCGAAAAGATGTATATGCTAAGCTTCTTATTCTTTTCTCCATGATTCATCTACGTATGCTCATAATATTCATCCTGAGGACGTCTGAGATGACATCAAATTTATTGTAGAAACAGTAGTTGATAACCTGTAACCAACTTCTGAAAAATTGAACTAATACACTTTTGTGTAAAGTTTTACGCCCACAGTTCAGTTTGACTTCACTTCTTTAGTTTTAAAAATTATAGCTTTATTTAAGTATGTCATTGTTTTCATATCTCATATTTCCATTTAGATATGGACTTAAAAGTGTATTTGAAGGCCACGTTTGTAGCTCTCATTTTAGAGAAGTTGATATTTTTAATTTATAAAGGAGAGCATTTCGATGTATCAGGAACGATACATTTATATATAAGAGAGATTAGTCTTACGTGTTTCTTTTACAGAGCCTAGAAGATAAACATACATTGAGAATAAGTTTAGAAGCCAAAGTCAATAGTCTATGGTCTGAATTCAAACAAGCTTCAGCTCAATATACAACAACAACAAACGAAAAAAAATCCTTCTTTGAAAATTTAAAAGCAAAAGATGAACGTTCTGCCACTGAAATTCAACATCATATAAATAAAATACAAAAAATCAATGAGAATATTGCTTCAACCAAACGTCGTATGATGAAAGTTGCTAAAGAATATGAAGAGAAAAATCGTAAATTAAGAGAAGAACGTGATAAGTTAATTGTACAATTTCAAATGTTAAAGATACAAATTAATAAATCACGCGAAATACAACATAAAAATTTGATTAAAATGTCACTTGAAAGTGGAGAAGCAATAAAAAAGGTAAATTATTAATGTATTCTTTAGAAATACACTTATCTACTACTAAAATGTAATTACAGTAGTATCTAAATCTTAAGTATTAACTGAAGCTGATTTACGCTTATGTAGTCTAATTGAAATAATTCGATAGCTGCTGGATATACATCGGTTACTACCATAAAGTGACAAACATTCGTCCTAATTGTAATCCTCCAATGAGTTACTTATAACTTCGATAACTCAGTTAGCTTATAACTATTGAGTCTCATATGACGTGCAAGATCTCTTCTATTTTTATGTTTACTTATATGAAGTGTGGCAACCTGAGCTGCTGGAAGTTTGAGTAGAGTTCTACACTGAAAATTCAATTCAGCTCATTTCCTAAAGTAAGTATCCACAAATAAAAAATAAACAGGGATATCTTTCTAGCTAACCACTGACGCTTAATATTTTCTCATTTTTTTCATTTTTCTACTGTGAAACAGGTTCAGTATTTATTGGATAAAGCTGAGAAAATTATCAAACTAGGCGAACAGTGTAGAAAGTATGAAACAGAAGAAGAGAAAGTTGTGCCATTTTATGCATCAAGTTTAACTGCTGAAGAAGAGAAAGCGGTTCAAGAATTTTATGAAAATGAAACTGATGAAGAAATTTCAAAGGTATGTTTAATGATGGGTGAAAATTTATCCTGTTTTACTGATTACACGTAATCTTTTTTAAAAGCATTACCCTCCGGTTAAGTTTTGACTGTAGGAATACTCCGAAATTTAGAAACCAACCTGGCAAGATTAAACAACAGACACCAAAGTCAAATGACTTTGAACCAACCAATCACATCTCTCATCATTCAAAATAGGTGCTGGTCATAATCTTTCTTGCATGTTCCACCCAGATTTGGTTTTTGACTTTTGTGCAGAAAACGGATTGATAGAGGGGGAGGGGGACTGAAACCTGCATATGTGGAGGGAAAATGACGCTACAAAAGTATTGTAGGGCTATTGACCGTTACGCATTCAGATGCAACCACTGTTATACGGGGAAGTCTGTGAGAGTTGGTAAGTCGTACATTTTAGATACTTTCTTCTCCAAGTCAAAACTGTCCTGAAGTAAAATATTGAGAATATGCCATAACCGGCTACTGAAGCGACCAGTATCTGCTACAGCTGCAGAAACGGAGAATACTAAAATGTCAACAATGCAGTGGTATCAATACTGTCGTGATATTGCGTCACAAAAGCTAAATGATATTGCTTCTGTACTTGGAGAAGTTGGTGTCGTCGTGCATATTCACAAAACGATACTTATTAAGCGAAAAATGAATCGTGGCAGGAGTACAGCAAATCATATTTGGGCGCTAGGACTTTATGCCATAAATCTTCATAAAGGGTTTATCGAATGCATCTCGAACAGAGGCGCTGATATCTTAATACCAATTATACAACGACTAGTCCTCCCAGGCACTACCATTCACACAGACGAGTGAAGAGGTTATTCTCAATTATCACCACTAGGCTATATTCACCACAAAGTCAACTGTTCTTCTGAATTGGTAGATCCTATAACCGGAACACATATAAATTCCATTGAAGGGTTCTAGGCTCACATTAAAAAAACGTATCGAAATGGTAAACGGTTCCCGAAAGATACGGTATATCGTCACTTAGATGAGGTTTTGTATGGACACTGGTTTAATATGTCTATAACCACTTCTATGAGAAACTGGGACCAGTTTTTGCAGCATAGTAGAGACGCATACCTTGTATAATTGATTTTTATTACATATATGTATTATAAATACACTTTTTTAATTAATTAAATGTCACTTTCACCTGGAAGAATCTGATTGGTTTTTTCAAGGTCATCGGTAGTTGGTGTCTTTACTGTTGCCATCGAGTACAGAAATAACAGCACTTTTCAAATAAGTGATGATTTTAGATACTATCTTTAACATTTGACTAAGTAACACTACCTCCAGCCTTACAGATATTGTCGATAAAAACTTCACTAACTGTCCAATGAAGTTGGTGCTTATAGCATCTTAAAGGCAAGTAGTGTAACGTTCTAACCGAATGTCACAGCTCAGAAAATACCAAACTATTTTTATTTCAGAGTAATACCCAGCTATTTAAACTAAAAGTGTAATTTTAACGTGGGAAACAAGACATAACTGATGAAAGTTGAAGAAAGTCTATCAGAGTAACAAAGTCATGGTGCGGTGAGAGCTGTCTACCAGCCAAATTGGTAGACAGTAATTTACGTCAATGTTTACGTTCTCAAGATTTGTCGTGAGAAAATATGAACAAAGACTGATTGAAAACCGACCACAGCACACTTTGCGTAGGCGGATACAGTTAACATATAGATTATCTGACATTAAGAAACAGTCACAAAGAGATGAAAGATTAACTTTAAGTGGGAAACAACCAATCAGAAGACTGTGTTTGTTTGCTTAACTAATCTATAATAATGTGCATGAAAATATATAAATATGCTTTGATTTCCCTAATAAAGGATCTGTTGCCTGGCCCTTGCCTTCTGTTGTTACAATAGGATGGACAGTTATTTTCTGGAGATGAAAATAATAAAGACTACTGACTTCTTTCCGTGTGAAATCTTAAGATTATTTGCAGACTATGGCTTCTATCTGTGACTACCAATAATTCCTCATATCGCCGAGTGGTTTTCACAACTTATATTACTTACTTGATTGGTTGGTAACGGTATATTCGTCCCCATAATTACTTGTAACTACAAATTTCCACGTGATTTAATATCAAATAATAAATATTTAGGCAACTGAGGCTCAGTTTTGAAATCTACTACACTCAATATAAAGAATAAAATTCAGATTTTCAACACCAGTGTTAAGTCAGTCAATTCTTCTATATGGGTCAGAAACTTGCACTCCATGTCAAGAAAAGAATTTCCAGTAGCTAGTGGCAGACTCTTATCAACAGTTTCCTTCACCGGTTTAATACTGAAGATCGAATAGCCAGAAAGAAATAACAACAAAAAATTATGGGAACTAACCAACCAGGAACCTACTGCTCAACAGATATACCGAAAAAAATGGAGATGTGTAGGACACACACTGAGGAAACCATCGAATGATATCGCGCATCAGGCTTTCACTCGAGTGGAACCCGAACGGGAAACGATGAGTGGGTCATCAGTGAGAGGGTGATATAGAGGAGATTGTATGAGGAGGAGATGATAGACTGTGGACAATTATCCGCCCAGATGAAGAGGACCACAGAGAATAGGACAAAGTGGAGATGGGCTACTGAAGCCTTATGTTTCACTCAGAAACCAATGGAACAATAATAATGATAATAATATACAACCACTCACTAAACAAGTCTACAAAGAAAAATGAAATAGTATTAATTCTTCCTAATCTCCTACTAACACATAGTCTATCTACTTATGCACACAAATGACTCAATTAAAAAAACTAATAAATTACAAATACTAAGAAATTCTTTTTACCCCTACTTTTTTATGTGTTAATTTTGATTGTTTCCCCTGAAAGTTCGGATAGGTTTGCCGATCGAAACGTTGGAATTGCTTATTTGAAATTACTTATTTCCCTACCAATAGGATTCCAATAAATATGACTTCTATATATGTCTACACTCCATTCTCCACCGCATTTCAGTAGAACTATTCAGTAAAAACTTAATCAAGGTTCATTTAAATTTAAGTATGACTAAGTCTCTGGGCATTTAGGTCGAGAAATGAGTGACATGATTACCTGTAATTAACTAAACCATGAAATCCACATGCTAAGAATAAGAAAACTACTCCACGAATGTGAAGAAAAGTTATATATATTTTTTGTAAATGGTGACAGCATAAAATAACTGTCTTTTTAAAGAATCATCGTCAAATGAGAAGTAGTCCATCTAAATGAAGCTGTTCTTTTCTTTTCTATCCATTTTCAACCTAAGGAGGTCTTTTATCGAGGATAATTGCCACTGTAATATGTACTTTGCACTATTGAAGTGCAAAGCACTTTTATCAGACTGTTAGTAACCTACATTCATACTCTTTTATGGACTCTAATAATATCTGGAAATCGAGAGCAATTTATACCTATCTGCGTTATGTCTGATATCGTTGTAAAGTTTGCCGGGTTGTGAAAAGGGTTGAATTTACATCACCTTACTAGGAAAATTTTCGCTTTATACGCTCAACTTCTGCAAGTTTAGAATTTCTAGATATTTTTATAGGACTGCGTGCATCCAACGGTGATATCATGTAGTTGATATTAGGATTCAAAGAATCGTGTTTGGAAATGGTGAAATTTTTCATTCGTAAACTGCTTCTACATTGAACCTATATATGCATAGTGCGTCGGTGGCACAGCGATAGAATGCTCACCAACCACGCATTTGGTTCAGGGTTCGATCCCCAACCGACGCACACCTTTACCTCGCTAAACCAGTAACAAGACTGGTAAAAGGGAAGTTTGGGCATAAGGCTAGCAACCCGTCCAGTAATAATAAACACCAGTGCTACCGAAACTTCAAGCCTCTAGCTTGAAGTCCTATGTTCCACTGGGAACGGAAAGGAATAATATATATATATATATATAATATTTGTATATATATATATATATACTGGTTCATAAACGTAGTACAGTCAAACATTTTTAGCCTATATTTTAAGTACAACTGTTTTATGGAAGGTATGAAAACTAGCAAAACAGAATCTTGCTACTTTGAAGTAATTAAAACAACCAAGAAAATCGAACTTGAGTTGATATTTTGAATAACTTCCCACATCCTTATATATTCAAAATAAATACTGAAGTACAAAATATTTGACGTTGAAGCTGATTTGTTTTTACCAATGTTTTGAGATAAATTCCTAGCAAACATAACTTTCATGCACTGTTTTTCAGAATGTACATCAAAAGTATGCAGTAAAGTGTTATGGGAAATAGTAATATGAGATTACAGTCAACCAGTATAGGTTCTAGGAGGAATAAAGTATAAACGAAAAGAAAAAAAGTACAATAGCCAAATGAAGAACTGGTAGATTTCATTAGCACAAATTAATTTAGACATGAGACAGCAGAAATTTGCTGATATTCACTACAATTTTCTCAAAAAGCACTCCCATTCCCTAATATCAAAATTATGGAGCGTCAAAAGTAGATATTGTGCGTCGGTGGCACATTGGTTAGGACGCTCGCCGACCATGCACATGGTCCGGAGTTCGATCCCCGGCCGACGCACTCCTTTACCTCACTAAGCCAGAAAAAATGCTGGTGAAGAGGGAAGGTTGGGCATGAGGCTAGCAACCTCATCCTGTAATATAAACACTGCTACAGAAACTTCAAGCCACTAGCTTAAAGCCCTATGTTTCACTGGGGAACGTGAAGGAAAAAAATCTTTAAAAAAATTTCGACCATTTAAAAGTTTTTAATTTGATGCTCTTTCTTTATCTACAAAGCTCACTTGACTATAAATACTTGTACACTCTTCACTTATAACCGTCTCTGTTAACATTTGCTTTCCTTGTTTTAAATGCATCAGCATTTTAGGATATTCATGGATAAGTTATTTTAGACTTTTATTTTTTCAAAGTTTGTACTGTTCAGTTGTACATTATATTAAACTACATCAAATTTCATTGTCTACTGTTATTGATAAGATGGTTATGCTGGTTAAACCAAAATAAGTATATCCCATATGTCTGTAAACTTAGTCGGTATGGTTATTTTGTAAAAACAACATGGTTTAAACGTTTGTTTTTTGTTTTTGAAACCATTAAATTCTAGGCGTCATTATAAATAAAAATGCATTCAGTTTCCTTCTGTTAATCTTTTTAATTACTGAATTATTTATAATTGTGAATCAATTATGCTCATCAACGTGTACCTCTTAATAGTCACTAATTGACTTTGTGCATTTTTCTAGGTAATTTGAAAAAGGACAGATAAACAAAAAATTCATATTCATTTATTTTATTCAATTGTATGTAATGTGAATAACAGGATTAAAAACTGATTCATCTTATTAAGCAAATTATGTGGAGACATTTGACTATTGGAGACAGACAAATCATGCTTATCTGTGTTAGTTTCCACTAAATGATGCAGATATAGAGGCGATTAAGTTAGAAGAATAATCGACACATTACACGGCAAAGATTGTATTACTAATTTATGAGCACAGATGAAAGTTATTCAGAATATTACACGAACTACATGCAGTGTTTCAGATATTAAGAGTAACTTAGTAGAGTGATTCAATTAAACAGATGCTTACAGTCTTCACCTTTTTAAAACTTAGCCTAAATCTGAACCTGTATATACGTAAAATTTCTGTAAGACTTAAAACTTTAAGAAGTAAATGAGGAAAAAGTGTTCAACATAAGATCCTATTACAATAAAGTTCAGTTAACAGATACAGGAGGAACGGATGAAGATGCCAAAGTCAGACAGTATCGGAAAGTCAAGATACACCTTCACCAAACTGAAACCAATTTGAAAATCTTCTGCTGCCATTGAGTATAAAGAACAAGATTCGGATTTCCAAAACAAATGTGAATTCAATCCTTCTATACTGGTCAGAAACTTGCAGTGAGCGTCACGAAAAGCATTTCCAACGGCTAGTGACAGACTTTTATCAACCACTGCCTTCTCTGACTCCATATTGAAAATCAGATGGCTGACAGGAAAGAATTAGCATCAAGAAGCTCCGATTAGAAACAAACTAACCAAGAGCCGATTGCTCAACAGATATGTAGGAGAAAATGAAGATGGATTGGACATCCATTGAGGAGGCTGTCGAATGACGTCGCGCGCCAGGCCATCATTCTAATGGAATCTGAATGGGAAATGACGAGTGGGTCGTCAGTGCGAGGGTGACCTGGAGGAGATCGTGTGAGGAGGAGATGAGAGATTATAGTCAATTGTAGATCCATCTGAGGAGGACCGCAAGGAATAAGAGAAAGTAGAGATGTGTTGTTGAATCCCTGTCACACTCAGAAACCAAGGGAATAACAATATACAATTAACATATGAGAAAATAGAATTTCGGAAATAATAAAAGATGAATATATACGAACTACCACTATAGAATTCTCCAATTAAAGATTCTTAACATTGTGCCAACGTCACACATGTAAAAAACGTTATCCTACGAGAATCGTGCTGAACGTCAGAAACTTTACGGTCTAGTTATTACATATTTTCCCCAACCTGAGTACAATTTTAAGTGCTCTTTACATTATAATGTTTACATGTCTAATTTAGGAAAATAGAATAGCTCATAAAGGAATAACTAAGGTGATAAAAAAGCTTTTCTTCGAAATATACAGCTTTCGTTTACAGGCAGGTGATCTGAAGATTTGTAATAAATATCATTTTGTAATATTTTGATAGTGTCATCTGATGCAAATTTACGCATAAATGAACTATCCTGTAAAACTCTGCAGGTATATTCTTTATTTAGCGTAATTTTAATACATAAATTGAGATGACTAATAGTTTTAATTTATTTCTCATTGTTTTAAAAAAACATTTATTCAAATTTTTAGATATTAAAACGATGCATTCCACTGGAAATGTTTTGGAGACGATTTAACAAAGTTCAATTGGATCGACTAGCCATTGCTAAGGAACACAATATGTTGGAGCAAGAAAATCTTCAATTAAAATTATTATTAAAACAATATTTAGATGGTATATCGATAAGTAATGAAGTAGTAACTGGTGATAATTCATTGCTTGTTATAAATGGACGTTCAAATGTTAGGTAAGCTGAATATTAACTGGACATTTGAATTCCATAAGGCCTACTTCAATGGAGGTATAAGTTTGAAAGCCTTAAAGCTTTAGTTAGATGTAAGATGTTACTTCATGTATGACTGACGAAGATATTCACTAGAAGTGTTGAAAGTGGAACAATCACTGGTGTTTAAATCTTCATCCATATTGGAGATCAGTCACACCAGTCCTAATGAGTTGGTTGCTGACGGATTCTAAGCATTTCACTGAAAGTGTAGTTAGTGTGATGTCTGAACTGTCTTATCACTTACACGTCGTGCATATTCTTCAAAATATGAAAAGGTTTCACAGGTTTGATCATAAAACTCTTATTAAAATTGCTTAATTTCCTGGAATCGCCAAAAGAGTTATTTCCCAGTTAGACTCTGAGTTTATCAAAAATAAGGGAATGAACATGAATAAGAATTAATGTTAACCCGATAGACCATCTTTATCATAATGTCAAACGGTGCCTAAATACATCAAACCATATACTCTGTAGCCCCACATCTTACCATTCAGCCAGAATAGATACGTTTTATCAGATTATATACGTAAAATCCGCGAACAAGGACATGACACTCTTTAATCAATGAACCACTAAAACGTATCAGTTTCAGCGTATTTTAAAGTTGATTCCTTGAAATTTAATAAAGCCCTCATAGGTTGATTGTTGAACGTAATATGGACATCTAAAACCATAAGACGATGGGACAGATAGTCGAACGGACAACTAAGCAGACAAGCAGCTAGATGGATGGACAAAAAGTTTGGTCAATGTAGAGCTCCTTACCAAGACTGAAGTAGCACAGAAGAGTCGATAACAGAAGTAGAAATATAAATTTGTGAAGGGATATTTCAGTAGAAATTTACGTAAATACTTGAAGAGAATTTCAAGAATGATAAAGGATGAATACATTTCTGTTACTGTGAACTTAACTGCTGATTCTCAGCATCTTAAAACCCTCACCTAAGTAGCCTACAATTTCTCATCTGATCAGTCAGAAAAATCCTTGTTTTGTGCGATGCCAGTCTAATCCTACTACAGCTATTACTGCTGGTTTGAAGAAGGAGGTAGTGTGAAATGCGCAGCTAGTCCTCCAGTTTCAGTAGTATACATGACACAGTCATTTGTTAGACGTAATCCTGTCACTACTCAGGTTTTTATGTTAACTTCAACCATAGCCTACTGACAAACAAACTAAGGTCATCTCCCTACAGTTAATTAAACATTTCCTTTTTGATTACTATACTACTATTAACCCTTTGATTGAATTTATTTCTTTATAAAGGCAATTAAGCATAGCAAACGACCCACGAATCAAAATGATACCAACTGGAGAGAATACAAACGATGGTAATGCTTCAAAAGAGATAATAAACTATGCCACTACACCAACCACAGTCGACTATAGAGTTAAACAAACAATTTAATGAATGAACAATTTCAAAATGATATGAAATAAGAAAATCAATGAGATAATTTATTCTTTTTGAAAAATCTTATTACCTGTAAATTCATTGTCCAGTCGATATAAAAGTAAGATTGAAATGAAATAAATTCATTTGAAATTTGAAACACTGTGCTTATCATTTTACTATAATAATAATAATAATAATAATAATTACTATTATCGTTCCCTCGGGCTTCGAGCGGAACATAAGGTTTCAATAAAAAATCTCCACTTTAACTTGTTCTCTACTGCCCTCTTCAGCCGGGCCGATGATTGTCCATAGTCTCTCATCTCCTCCTTACACAATCTCCTCTGTGTCACCCCTGGACGCTCCTTTCGTCGTTTCCCATTCGGATTCCACTAGAGTGATGGTCTGTATTGAGCGTGATGTCATTCAACAGCCTCCTCAATATATGCCCGATCCATTTCCATTTCCTCTTGGTTGTTTTGTTCCCAGCCAGAGTTTCTTGTTATTCATTCTTTCTAGCCAGCCATTTGGTCTTTACTATGGAGCCAGACAAGGCAGTTGTTGATAAAGGTCTGTCACTACCTATTGGACATGCTTTTCGTGACGGTCATTGCAAACGTCTGACCCATATAGAAAAACTGAGTGAATGAAAATTTGTGTTTGAAATCCGAATATGTTTTATTTGTGTTGACTGTAGAAGATTTCCAAGCCGATTTCAGATTGATGAACGTCTGTGTTATAATAAGTAACTCTAATTAAGACGAGCGTTTTGTTTCCATTAAAATGCATCACAGAATAATGAAGACTAGCAGAAAATACTTGCTTAAAGGACGTGATTAAGAACTTAGTCCAAAGTATCATTTACAGTTAAGTTTCATTTCAGAATTTGAAATAGACAAGCAATTGATCCAATGTCCTGTCTTCTATGGCTGACTTATCACCATATAACTTTACACAAGTGTAACTAGGAGATTCATACATATAAATATAGAAAATAAATGCGATAAGAGTGCAACAGACGGACATGTACGGTAAAAAGGAGAATTGATTGAAGAGTTATTGCGGTTTTTAAGAATCTGGGTGGCAGTGAAAACTATTTTTAGCCTTGTCATCAACAGTCTCCAACCATTAACTTTTAGCATCTTAACGACTACAGCCAAACAATCTACACCGCTCTATATGGATTAAACCAGCAGTCATTAATATCAAAGATTGGTGCTGTTTTCGACTGACTACCTCCAACTCTTTAAACCTAATTGTACATCAGATAACATTGCTTATTGAAAAAAGCACTGGCTTAAAACTCGTAACACATGTCCTGACTGTTTCAATCGATTCAAGTACACAAATCCATCGACTAACTTGCCCTCCTGCACTACACTTAGTCTCATTATTACTAACCATACTGAAACACCAAACACAAGAGCTTCAAAGGGGGCATTTATGGCTGGATCGCTATTAAGTCCCCTACAAATATAAGCTTATATCAGAGATTTCAGGTAAAGCTTATCGTCTAATGAATGAACACCTACTTTTGAATCAGAAGAATACATAGCCTGCGAAATTCGATAGTAAGAAAGTTTGAATTTTACCTTGTTATGAGGAAGCATTTATGTTGGTCAATGTCCTCTAGGGTATACACAAAGCACAAAGTAAGAGAGGGCTAGCAAATGAACGTCTAATCACATTTCTTTTAAGTTAACCCATACATAACCATACGAAAATGCATTCGGTCAGTTATTCTGACATCAAGTTTTATTAAGCACATTATGTTGCTTTTTACTAATATGTTGATCTTCATTTCATTTATCCGCTTATAAGCGTGGTAACTTCTAGAGTGTTTACAAGAATCGTACTTAATAAGCAGCTGTGTACAGGTGTAGCACCACTATATCATGTATACCTTGATGTATATCAACGAAAACGTAGAGAGTTGTCTAGATGTCCGGAAGGTCTTAGTGCTGACATTTATCGAAACTCACAGATTTACGTGCAAAATTCAAATAGAGTGTAGTAGGTGAGTTCTCACTTTCCAACATGTAAAGCTGAATTTGCCATATATAAGTTAAGGGACTCTCATTACAATATGGTGTAGCATGAATGCTGACAATCCTATACTGAATACGATGATTCACACCGTTATTTCTGTGAATGAGATAAGCGTAATCGAAAAAGCAAAGTTTTCAGCACAAACTCAAATAAATATACATATTTTACCACTCATTAAAATACGTCTACCGTCTAGTTTCGACGGATTCTCATACAAGCTAACAAAAGTGCAAATGCTCAGTTCAGACTCAATGTAGGGATACTCTTTAATTGCCAGTGGAGCTTGATGAAAGACAGGATCAGATGATAAAAACTATGCTACAAATTCTGTAACACACACATTCAGTTTATACTAGTTTTTTCAAGAAATTCACACATTCTTCTGCTGTAGAGTGAACACAAGTTTCAGGTGTTTTTAAACCACCCACGCGAAAACTGCAACACTTTACTAAAACAAAACACAACTGGAGAGATAACAGCAGAACTAATATCCAACAATTGTTCAGTGAGGTTTTGTCGATTCGTTGCACTAACTAAGAGATAATATGCCTGTAAAAATCATTGGATAGCACTGTAACCTTGAAAATTCTATAATCAATGGATGATTATAACAAAACGCATAATTATGTACAATATGTACAGCTTGAATAAGATAGAGGAAGTACAAAAGTATTAACATGACCCATAATTAATGTACAGTTTACCTGATCAGAAGGAAATACTATGACGAATGTAAATGAAAAAAATTTTTATGTATATGTATCACAGTATTTAAGTAGTGAAAATAATTCACAAACTAACAGCATACTACTTATTATCATAAAAGTAACAACACATAAGTTATCTTAAAAATTAGAGAGAAAATTCAACTAACAAGATTACTTTTGCATTTACATACACAATACTGAAAAAAAAATGAAAAGTACACGAGAGAGTGAGGGAAGAAGAAAGACTACAAACAGACTGTACAAGATAGAATCTGTAGAAATTCTAATTTGCCTGAAATGAATAAAGAAGCATATGCTCCAAATTAATCCATACCTCTAAACGGGCTGGACAATGTGTAACATCTGGTCGACGATATGACGGACCCCAGCCTTTGCCAAGACTAATATGTATAATTGGATTCCTATACAACAGACTACTATTATTAGTGTTTAACTCTTCGAAAAAGATGTTATTTCTATTGTTATTGTTATTATTATTATTGTTGGTAGTATGGATGCTCGAAAACGGTCGACAGGATGGAAAGTTAGATGATGTCGACGAAGATGAAGAGGAAGAGGAGGAGGAGGAAGAAGATGATGATGAAGAAGAGTGCCGCAGTAATAAACTCTCGTATAATACAAGATCAAAAACCAATAATGAATAACCCGCCGGTACACGATATACCGGTAGATCCATACAAAAGTCATCAGCAGTCACATTGTCCATCATCTGTAAACATGGTGATGATACAAATACGGGTAAATTTGTAGCCAATGCTTGATTATTCAGCCAAACACAACCATAAGTGGTAAGTGTAAGTGATATACCCTGACTGCCTAGACGATAACACTGTTTCCATCCAGAGGATGGTTTATATAGTGAAGAATGCATTGTAATGTCTCTTAAAAGAGATTTGGTGCTATATGAATCTAAATGCTGTTGGTGATGATTATGACAGCATTTCCTGCACTGTTTCAAAGACGACGTAATAGATCCTTTAGTATGTGTTGCGTTAATATCACTACTACGATTATGATCATTATTAGTAGTAGTTGTAGCAACAGAGACATTTGGTTTACTTCTCTTATTCGAATTTAGTTTAGAATTATACTTAGCATGAATTGATGCTTCATACACTGTTAAAAGAGATAAATATATACAGTCATTTTGTAATTTATCATTATAACGTGAATATGTTTCATTATGAACATGTTTCGGGGACAAGGATAGTTTATTGTTATCCTCATTATAAACAATATTCAACGTACGATTTGTTATATCATACCAGCGACGTCCCATATGATGATGTGATTCCCAATAGGAGATGTTCGCCCATGGCTTTTGATGATGACGATGATGAACGGGCGGAGGAGATAGGGGAGAAAGAGGAACATTCCGTGTTGTATCAAGATGAGTATGGAAAGAATCAAGGTTTTCATGAGGTATGCATAGATTCTCAACACCTTCATTTTTAGCAGTGATGGATAATGAAGGCATGTGATTAGAAAACGCTGGATACTTGAAGTCAACTAATTCAGAATTGACTAAAGATGTTTCTGTAGTAGTAGTAGAGGTAGGATTTAAATTCTCTTCATCAGCTGATTGTAAAGAAGATGAACAGGAAGATGATACAAATTGGGTATTTGTGTATCCAGTGTTTAATTTAGACAAATTTGGATTAGGATGTGTTAAATTCGTACTGATTTTCTGTTGAAGTTTATAAAGCAGATGAGATGAATAATAATCTCCTTTAGACTTTTCACAATTGTTAATCAGTAAAGCTGTTGATTTATCTGTCATTGTGTCAAACGATGTAACTAAAAAGCAAAGTGGAAGTAAAAGGTACAAAAAAAATAATGAACATTATGTCACTTTTTGTACTTTTTTCATTATTTTACGTTTCCAGTGGAATGTAGGGCTTCAAGCTAGAGGATTGAAGTTCCAGTAGCAGTGGTGATTATTTTTACTGGATGAGGTTGCTAGCCTCATACCCAACCTTCCCTCTCTGACAGTCTTATAACTAGCTTATTTAGGTAAAAGACTGCGTCAACCCAGAATCGAACCCTGAACCAACTGTGTTGTTGGTGAGCAGTCTACCGCTGTGCCAACGATGTATGTTTTGCAAAATAAGACAAATTGAAGAAATATACATACATATTTGTAAATAACTTGAACTCGTGCGTTGGTGCTTCAATAGTAGAATACACACCATGCGCTATACAAGTGTTCCGGGCTATATTCCTCACCGATGCACTCTTAAATGTCACCGCCTAATTTACTCTAGCCAGTAATAATCCGGGTAAAGATGGAAGATTGTACATGAGGTTAGAAAACCATTCCTACGAAAACG